TGAAAAATGCCAAATAAATCGGATACAACTATGACCTTTCGCTTGAAATCGTGCGCCACATGGTGGCGCACATGGTACGCAATGTGTTTATTGACTGTGGGTGGACGACAATACAGAGGAATTCTGTTCAATCGCGCTGTGTTTGGACATATCTCTGCTTCTGGTTGGGTACTGAGCTGGCGATTCAAGCGCAACAGGAGATACAATACAGGCTGCGTAATGAACTTCATCCTGGCACTCTAGTAACCTTTGATGAGGAGCACTGGGGCAGTAAATCGGGACTGCAACTACTACCGAGGAATCGAAGCACACATATGCAAACCCGATGCAAATTTATGACACCATAAATTGCTATTTGAATATAAATCGCATGGACCGTCCGACCACTACCAAGAAGCACGCATGACCATCCGTGGAAGTTTCACTCGCCAACTGCATAAACAAGCGGGAATCCGCTAGTCGATCAGAGTGACAGTGGAGATGTGAAGTGTAAGGTCAATAATAAACGGAATGAAAGCGTCTAGTGCAAAAATAAACACCCTCTCCCCCATTAGCGACGAAGCGAGTTAAGATTGATATAGGATTAGGGCTACATTTTGGGGTTTTCCGCTTACAAGGGAGGTCTTTCAGGGCAAGGTGCGCTTTTTGGAAACGGTTTAGTACATGTTGTAGGGACGCATGTATGGACCACAAAACCATGTTTCGTTTTCGCTGAACGGTTTTAGTAGTACCAAAAAAGTGGTGAATGATACCCTTGATGGTTCGATCCCCCGCGGCGACTAAATTTTGCAATCAAGGTTGGCGGCCACTTGTTGGCTTCAAAATGGTCCTGACGATGAATTGACATCTGATTTTGATATTTAGCGCGATTTGGCACCAAACCGTAGGCGCCAACCCAAATGCAAAATTTAGTCGCCACGGGGGATCGAACCCTTAACAGTACCTTATGCTTCTTTTTTGGTACTGCTATAACCGTTCAGCGAAAATGAAACATGGTTTTGCGTTCCCTACAATATGCACAAAACCGTTTTGAAAAAGCGCACCTTGCCCTGAAAGACCTCCCTTGTTAGGCCTGTCAAATTGAGTCGATATTTGTGCAAATGCTACACCGCATATTTTCGGGAGGAGCTTCATTGCTACCAGAAAACCCAGTGAATACCTTCGGAGGAGAAATATATTTTGTGGCATTTCCTGTTCGAGCCCGTCTAATCGGATAGCGCTATCTATTCCTCTGCACCTATCTGTTGAGATTTTGCGTTAGCTACGTGCCAGCGCCCACTCTGTATAAATGCGTGTCCGCTGTCTTGAATCCTCAAATCCTAGCTTCGCCCATTCTAAACGAAACCCTGGATTTCAATAATTTTGAACTAGCAGCCCGCATTATGCCAGCGTCCTGTGACCTTGCACCCTCGCTTAGAGGTTGGCCAAAGTCCGATTCTCAACCTTGGCGCGCTTCTCATCCGGCGGCCTGTTCTCTTTTCTGCTTCATTCCATAAGCAGAACCTGTAATAACGTCTGAATGTCTTTGATGTCTTTGCCGACCCCTTTCAGGTAACCAAGAAAAACAAGAGCCACTATGACCGTAGACACTGCCTTCTACTTCCTTCATGGAAGCCCTTAGCTGCTTATAGATTTCTTGCCTTCACAAAAGGAATTTTTGCACGCGAGTTATTGTAACAAGTGGAGAGCTCCCTCAGTTCTGCTTATCTTCAGAAAGCCAAAAGGGTGGGTGTGACGTGGGAATGGTCACACGCCAAGCCTATATCTTTACGAAGTATCAGCAAGGCTTTCAAGGAAGCGGAGTGATCCCATCAAAATAACAATGCTTTCTTTTCCGGTTTCTATCCTGAAAAGTGGTTGTTTTACAGTTTCACACATATTGTTTGAGCAATTTTCAAATTGAGGGCTCGCTCGATACAGTACTTATTAGTTGGCTTTCGCTGTAGTAACAGCTTTCTCGGTCTAAAATACTTCAAAGTATATTATAACAGTGGGGATCCTACAGAATACTCTTGAGTATCGCCAGCGGACGGTTGACGCTATATTCAAAAACTCGACAAAACCTTCAAAGTTCTTGAGGAGTGGGGCAGTAAAGGGTAAATAGTGCCGCTGAAGACTTGCCTTCAGGGGTAATTTGACCCGTAAATCACGAATATAATACCGGTTTAGAGCGAAAACGCTTGGCGCCCGCGCCACAGGCGCCGGCGCTATCACAACAGTTTTGCGCGGGCGCTCGTAGCGCAGGCTACAGGTTCACTCGTAACAAACTGATGTGATAATCATGTTCTACGGGTCAAAATACCTCTGAGGACAACTTTCCAGCGAATTTGGGGATCCGAGATGTTCTGGCGCCTTTTGGCGCCGGCGCTTCTGACGCGAGCGCCAGGCGTTCTAGCGGTAAACAAATGTGATATTCGTGTTCTACGGGTCGAATTACCCCCGAAGCAAGTTTCTGGCCAAATTCACAGTCAATGACCAATTTCGATAAAAATCCGGCTCAGTTCTCGAGGAGTGGGGCAGTAAAGGGTAAATAGTGCCGGGGAAATAGTGCCTGACATGTGTCTTTCTACTCAGGTCTCTGCTAGCAAGTCTATCTAGAGTGGGTGAATTTACTATGCGCTCATGAACAAGCCATAGATAGGAAACATGCATCTCTGTGTAGTGCGATTTATAATACCTAGTTTATTTGGTTTCGTTCCCTGCTCGGAATGCAGTTTTTCCGGAGGAAATTTCAGCGTCTATTCCAGGCAAACCCCGTATTTGGATGGTGGAACCAAAAAACAATGTCGATCAAAACGCCTCTTCTCGTTGGGACATTGATGACTATTGGAGGTCGGTAGATGTTTCAAGTCTTGTATAGAGGAGAAATATCGGCCGATAGCACATACCATTCCATATAGGTCGTTCCGTGTGTAGTTTACCTTACATTTGATCGAACCTGCTGCCCCTCACTGAAGCCACGGCTCGGCATTGTATGCCAAGAGGTAGTCCTTCCCAATATAGGAAAAAGGAGT